TCTTCTTCTTCTTCTTCTTCTTCTTCTTCTTCTTCTTCTTCTTCTTCCTCCTCCTCCTCCTCCTCCTCCTCCTCCTCCTCCTCCTCCTCCTCCTCCTCCTCGTCATTGTAATCATCATCATTATTCAGATTTCTTGTTTCGTTTCCTCCTTCAGATATATCAGAGGAACAAAAATTTATACACAGTGGAAGCCAACAATGCACGACAATTGGTGGAAAGTGCAGCTCAAGACATTGAAAAACTCCTGAGTAACAGATCCACAGCCTTGGTAGTAAGTAGAACTTCACCTTTTCTTGTCCTGATTTTGAAAATGGATACCTAAATGTACTTCATTCTTCCCTTTCATCTTCCGATCTCATTAAAATACTTCATGTGTTTGCATTTATTAAAGCTGTGACAATTCTTCAAACGTGCCAGAGGTTAAAACCCAGGAAGAGCATGTCCGAAGCACTTCTGAAGGATCAAAGCAGCCGCATCTTTTAAAGTGTACAGCTGCTTCAGAAATCTAGTCAAATTGTGGGCGTTCCTAGCCACATTGTGGGTCGTCCTCGACTTACAATGGTTTGTTTAGTGACCAAAGTTACAATGGCACTGAAAAAAGTCCCTTCTGACTGATTTTCACTCTTAACGACCGTTGTATCATCCCTGTGGTCACATGATCAAAATCGGGATGCTCGGCAATTGATTCATATTTATGACAGTTGCAGCGTCCTGGGGGGGGTGTCATGTGATTTCCCTTTTGCAGATTCACTTAACAACTGGATTGCTACCTTAACAATTGCAGTGATTCACTTAACAATGGTGGCAAGAATAATCGTAAAATGGGACAAAAATTCACTTAACAAATTTTTCACTTAGTGATGTGAATTTTGGTCATGAGTCGAGGACTCCCTGTACTCTTCCCTCCCTATGTCTCCCCGGGCAAGGCGGTTTTGGTTACAGAGGGAACCAAGAAGAACTTCTGAAGTAGCTGGACAAGGCTAGCCAAAGACGTGGTTGCTTTAATGAACCTGAAAGAGGTGCTTCATTAAACGTGGGATTGACAATCTGTAATGCTGTTGAGTGGCAAATGCAGAACTTAGAACAGCAGAGCAGTGGATATGTGATGGACAGCTAGCAACGTGGTGTGTTTTCACACACACCATGCAATTGTTGTGAGGTATAAGATGGTATCAAAAGAGAGGCTGGATTGTTATATGTAGAAATTACATATTATGAGTTATACCTGTGAAAATGAAGAAGGGAAGCCATACTTATCCAATATTTGAACTATGTAATGATTATTGGACAGTTATATAACTATATCTAATAAACATGTACTATTTTGTCAGGTTTTTGGGTAGAACATGGGCCTGTACTTTTTGGCATAAGGATACGAGAAGGAGATACTAGGTTATCATGGCCCGAAAGGAACTGGCTAATGATCTATTGTATTATAGAAGGTCATAACAGGACCATAACAGGAAGACAAGCCATGAGAACAAGGATAGTTTCCAAGGACAAGGAAACAGGTGTTACACTACAATAATATGGATGTAGCATAGGGAGATATGTAGCTTGGATAGATTGTGAACCCAGAAAAGGGGCAGAGACTGTATATTTGAACCTATATATAAACCCCAGCCCTCCTGGGGAAAATGACTTCTGCCATGAGCAGAATCCCCTTTTCCAAAAGCTTAATAATAAAGCTCTTATATATTGTTCACATGTCTCCAGATTTCCATTTGATTATTATCACATTTTGTGAGCTAGAAGAAGCATGGATTAAGGATACAACAACACAGAGTGGGCAATATGCAAACAAAAATAAGTTGGAAACTTAATAATTGATAAAAGAACTTAGTGTTGTACAGCTGGGATGCAAGTGATTAAGATAAGGTAGTTTGGAGACCATCTCCATATTCCACAGGACTCATATTTCAAAAGAATGTGCTGGTTCAAATATAAGTATTTGTGTTCAGTTCCACTTGAGAACTCATGAATATCCTTCAGTGTCTGTGGTACAGACTGTGGTTGTGTATTTCTGTGGTGCAAAATCAGCTCTTTTTTTTTTTTTGCATAAAAGGGCAGATGCTTCGATTTTGATTGACAGGTCACCATTCCACCCTCCCAGCTGCCAAACAGCTGATGGGATATTGGTATTGTCAAAGCGCATGGATTTTCTAGATTCCCAACCTAATTAAATATCTCAAAACCCAAGAAGACAATGCAAAATATGATAGCAAGTTGAAGATGAATTTTGTCTTGCATAAATACATTCCAGTGCTCTGGGGAAAATTTTGAGAGATCGGGGGAGGTTAGCAATGTAAAATGCATTACACATAATATTGTCAGTTTGTGACATTGATAATTCTCAATTTTTTTTTCATGGTAGGTAGTACTGTTACCAGAACTACAATTTAATCCTTAATTGTACTTATTTCCTCCCATCCCTAGTCATAGATAAAGTTAATGAGCTGACTTGCAAGCTATTGCTGACTTTGTTTCTTACTATGTGGAAAACCAGAAAAACAGAAACAAATGTTTAGGGCATTTCTAAGAAATTTCCTGCACTTAACTGTTTTGTGTGTCATAAGGAAAAGTGTACAGTGATCTACTTGTGGGACTGACCATAACAGATAAACAACTTGGGAGGAAAGCTGTTATTAATTCAAAACATCTCTATTGCTGATGGTAACAGAATATCTTAATTACTACTTTAGTTGCACCATTACAACAGCCTTTGTTTCCTTTAGAAGAGAATGTATGTAGCTCAGGGTTGAACTGTGAGGTCTTTGAGCTTCGTTGCTTTCTTGCAGACATTTCATTACCTAACTAGGTAGCATCATCAATGCTAGAAAGGGGTGTGGTTTGCTCTTTGTTTACTAGATGTTATCTAGTTGGGTATTGAAAGTCTACAAGAAAGCAACCAAACTTCAAGGGTGCCACAGTCATACCTCTTCCTCCTCCTCCTCTTCCTCTTCCTTCTCCTCCTTCTCCTTCTTCCTCCTCCTCCTCCTGTTTCTCCTCCTCCTCCATCTCCATGTTTCTCTGGGGAATAGAGAGCAGAGAATAGGAAAGCAGAGATGGTGGGAAATTTTGATGGGAGAAGAACTGGGAAGGAAGTGAGAAGCAAGGAATGTATGTATGGCGAGAGCCTTTTTCCAGATGCTGCTCAACTCCATAACAGTCTCACCAAGAGCCACGTAGCAGTTTGCATCTGGTTATCTCTTTCTCGGAAAGAATTACCTGCAATCTAATTATCAGCTTCCTGGCTTACCAGTTCTGCCTTCCTCTTTTGACACATATAACGTATTGCATTCTTCTCCTGTTTCTCTCAAGTTCCTTGCAAATTTGTGCTCATCACACAAATGTGCCCACATGTTCTCTGTCAGGAGACCTGAAAGATACTCAGTAAAAATATACTCCACGGTATGGCAGCATCTTAGAAAGAAACTGTCTAAGGCCTCTCATCATAGTGGAAACAACTCTTTGTGCCCTTTAAGCTTTCTGGGAAATACCAATATGTGGGGTTGAGATTAATGAATCTGAAATGGTTTCTCAATTCTGACTTGAGAGTCCTGAGGTTGTTTAAGTAGTAGCAATAAAAAATGAAAACAGACCAATGGATACCCTGGTAATCTACCAAACACATAATACAAGAGGGTTGTTGATTTTATTTAATAACGTTGATTCCTGTTGGAATCCTCTGGCTCAGCATTGAGCTTAAGAACACCACACCTTCTGCCCAAACTCAAAAAGGTAGTTTGTTTGCTCACCCCTTTCCTCTTCCCTTACCGCCTTTCCTTGAATTTTAAATTCAAAACCAGTCCATCACCTTCCCTGAAATTAATTGAAAGAATGGTGGTATCCTCCCCCCTCTCTTTCTCCACACTACTCAGATGCCCCATTGATGTGTTTGTAACTTCACTGGTTGACCTTCCCCCTCTTTCTCTTTCTATCTATCTCTTGTTGTATGTGAGAGACAGAGACAGACACACACAGAGAGAAACAGAGACAGAGAAACAGAGACAGAGACAGACAGACACACACACACACACACACACACACAGACTGAGAAAGAGAAGGAAGGAAGGAAGGAAGGAAGGAAGGAAGGAAGGAAGGAAGGAAGGAAGGAAGGAAGGAAGGAAGGAAGAGAAAATGATAGAAAGAGAGAGAGAGACACAGAGAGACAGAGAAAGAGAAAAGAGAGAAAGAAAAAATAAAGACAAGAAGGAGAGAGGCAGAGAGAGAGAGAGAAGAGAGGGAAAGAGAGAGACAGAGAGAGAAGGAAAGAGAGAGAGAGAAAGAGGCAGAGACAGACAAAGAGAGACAGACACAGAGAGAGAGACAGAGAGAGAGAAAGAAAGAAAGAGAAAAAGACAGAGAGAGACAGAGAAAGATAAGAAAGAGAGAAAGAGGGAGAAAGAGAAAAAGAGATAGAAAGAGAGAGAGAGAAAGACAGAAAGAGAAGAGGGAGAGAAAATAAAATGAAAGAAAGAGAGGCAGAGAGAAAGAGAAGAGATAGAGAAAAAGAGAAGGAGAGAAATAGAGAGAAAAAGAGAGAGAACGAGACAGAGAAAGAGAGACAGAGAAAGAGAGATAGATAGACAAAGGAGACATTTCTCATTCTTTGTGACTTGTAGCCTATTTTGTGCAGGTGCACACAGAAGTAACACCTTGCCCTTCGGTTGTTGTGGAACAGCCGGAGGAGTGAATGCATTTGTGACAAAAAGAGGCTGTCTACTTCTCCTGCACCTCTTAACATTCAGGTCACAGAAGAGCGTCTGGGATGTGCGGAGGAAAACATTATGAGTCACCCAAGAGTCATAATCCTGAACCAGAAAAGTCAGCCTTTATCATTCAACTTAGTGCACTGCTGTCCGTGGTGCTGAAGATAAGATGGTCCTTAACATTATACCGGTATAGCCAGGATTGAAAATCTTAGATGACTAAACTCACTTTAAGATAAACCTTTCAAAACTGCATTGTTGGACCCTGCTTTCCACACCCTTTTAAACTTGCACTGGGGTGGGCGGGGGGAGGAAGCTGTTTTGTCACCATCACACAAGGAAGATCTCTTTCTTTTCTGTGTTCCAATCTCTAAACATGTTTTGTGTTTGCTGGTCTGAATTGCAAGCTGATTTGTCATTAGGAGGCTCCTTAGCTTCTCATGTCCTACCCACCCGGGGTAGTTTGTTAAGCTGGCGGCACTTGTTGTCTTCTGAACCTGAACGGCGTCTTTAAACTGACAACGTTTCCAGCTGGCTTTTTTTTTTTTTTCTTGGGCGT